CCGCCTCCCTCTACACAGCTCTGGGCGCTGGACTGACAAGGCCGAGGCTCCCGGCCCTCTCCCGCCTGCCCCAGGGCTGGGGCGCCAAGCCCATGTGCACCCCTGGCCACCCACCCACAACCCAGCAGGAGGGAGGCCCCCGGCCGCCGGCTTCTCTCAAGGACCCAACCTGATCTGGATGGGAGCACAGAGGGTGGGGCATGCAGGGATATATTGAGGGCCAGCACCTGGGTCCGCCCCCGGTGTCAGGGTGTCAGGTACCCGTTGAGAGCCATGAGGGACGGACTGGAGCCATGCAGGGGCTCTGCAGCCCCACCCGCTGGCCAGCCTGCCACTCAGGCAGGAAAAATCGGCTATGACAGGCCCAGGAAGGCCAGGCCCCGGGGGCCCAAGGGGCAACGCACACAGCTCCTCTTCCAACATATGGTTGCTGTCGGCCTGGGGCGTAGCTTGGCCAGTGCTGGCTGAAGCTGGTGGGGGCTCAGGGGCTCAAGCCACTCATCCCACCCACCTGGCCAGGTTGCTCCCTCAATGATCCAGAGGCTCCTGCTCCAGTTAGCATGCCGCCCACCATGGGGAGCTCACTCCCACGGCAGCCCCTCCGTCACAGCAGTCTGAGGCACACCGAGTCTCCACACCCCACGCCAGAGTGGCTGGGGGCCTGGTGCATCGGGGTAGAGCACACGGAGCACACGGGGAGGGCAGCTAGTGGGAGGACGCAGGACGCGGCACATTTGAAGTGGGCACGGGACAGTCTGCTGGCCCAGGAAGCAGATGCAGAGGCCTTCTCGGGGCCCTGGTATCGGAAGCCTCCCAGCTGGGCCCCTTTCCTCCCGGTGGGCCAGCTCTGGCAGCCCCTCACAGGTTCCCCGGGGACTCCCAGCCTCTGTGTCGCTGCCGTGGAGTGAACATGTGCTGGGATCCCCATCCACACAGACGCCCAGACCCATCACCTGCTCTGCCCCTCCCCTCCACCCTGCTGTGGGCCCCCAGTGCTCTTGGGAGCAGTGACCTCAGGTATGACCCCCTTAAGGCCAAGCCCTGGGCCCACCCCTCTCAGCCTTGGCTCCCTGAGGCCACTTTGAGTGGGCAAGGTGGAAGAGTGCCAAGGATGACCCATGCTCTGGGCCCAGGGGCTTGTGGACACCAAGGCTGCCATATGTCCCAGGGCTCATCAGGGAGAGGGTGAGTGAGCCATGGCCATCACCTGCATGGTGCTGACCCCTCTCGGGGTCTGTCAGACCCTGCCTGCGGGCTCCCGCTGCCCCCACCCCCGACTCCTATCCACTGGGCAGGCTAACTCAGTCCCTACCCCTGTCCTGGCAAAAGCTGTGCATGTACACTGAGGGAATGAGACGGGCCTACTGGGCACCGTGCCACTGCCCCCTGCCTTCCCTGGGCCCCCTCT